TAAATATACATTTCATTCAGTCATTCGGCTGTGAAAAATATGCTCTTCGAGCTGCCAACAGACTGTCTAAGACGCATCCTCCAGTCTGATTATCTGACTCTGCTGCATGGGGAACTCGAGTTGGTCGCTTTTATCTCCACTTGGCACGTCCGGAGAGTGGAAGCTCTTCAGAGCGACGGTCTCTCCTTAGGCCAGGCAGTCGACACCTTCAACGAGCAAGAAAAGGTCTGTTCCGCTCTTCTTCATGATTGCGTTCGTTTTCCGCTTCTCGACATGACGCTAATGCAAACATGGATCGAGGCCGTACAATGCGGCAACCTCACCAATCAGACCATCTCCACATCGCCTCTAGCGGAGCTAAGCAACCACGTTCTGGAAGGGTCGGTTGAACAAGTCCAGTCTGCCCTTGTGGAGAGGAGAGGCATTGACGAAGTGGCCGCCGCCAAACGATGGGGTCGGCATGTGAGCTTCTGCCATTCAGTTCAAAAGTGCTATGCTCTTTTTGATGCCATGCATCATCACATCTCGTGATTTCTAGGTCCCCATCTTCCTCCCTGAACGGTAGGAGAGAGGACTTGAAATCTGAAAAGAACTGTTCACGAGTGATAGCTGAATTCTCCTACAATCACATAATGAGTTATCCTTGTAAACCAGTTGAAATGTACATAATCTGCCTTCCTCAGCAGGAATGGAACCTGAAGCTAGGGTGACGTATACATTTCACATGTCACCACAACGCCGGAATGTCACTGATGCCAGACGACAATTTCAAGGCAAACCAGGCCTTTTTAATATCACGAAATGTGTGGTGGGATTGTCCGCGGAGCAAACGAGCATTTGCTAACACAATCGACTGCATTACTTGTACAGACAGGTCGCGTTTTACACGACTAACTGGTCCCGTCAAAATATCGTACTATGACAGCATGTAAAGTTGTGTAATTAGTTGAATGTGAAAAATTGTATTTTTGAAGACCCCTAACTGAATTTCGCTTCGTATTGCATGCAGCCTCGTGTAAATGTAAAACCTGTGCTAATTCTACTTGAAGCCTACTCAGTGTGAAATTGAGTAGTATCGAGGAGCCTATTCATAGGATTATGGGAAATGTTAATTAAAAATCACTCCCTCATTACATTATTCTGCATGAAGAACGAATGTAATAATATGCATTTTCAAACTGGTACTCGTTGATTATGACGAATAGCAATGTTATACTGTAAATCTATGCTTTACAAAGTCGCAAAATCGGCTCGGTTACTCTTCTGCAAGCAATGAGAACAAAGAATTTAGACCAAGCATGCTGTCTCTACATGCTCAAGTCGGCGTAGAGCCCTAGCGACCTGACCTGAGACAGATTGGTAGAGTGCAAGGTGAACGAATGCACTGTGGAGACTGTACCTATTCGAAGGGTGTATATGTGGTAAGTGCAATAGCGTTTAAACTGGCCAACCAAGAGGGTGTGTTGCCCAGCCGTACCAAATGGAAGAGGCGCAACAACAAGAAGCTGTTGAGAGTGGACACGCGAAGATTTGGGGCTAATGTGATGTCGATGTGGGCTGTTGCAGAGCAAATCGAGCTGTATTTTTCTGTGGTCACATGAAGCGATGAAGGATGGATAGGCTAATTTTTCCCACAATCATATGAGCATGCATCAGGTTTCCATTACATTTTGCATAGCCTTACTTTCTCATCATCCCCAACGAAATTCTCTGAGATGTATTCACCTAATTTCGTTTCCATTGCGCCCTAAGTATGAGATAAAAATAAATAAAACTCGTGTATCTTCATTATTTTTCTAATTTTATTAACATTAAATTAATATTTAATAATTAATGTGATAAATGAGCCTGCAAATCACTGCAAATTTTCTCAAATTGAAGCTTTTACAATATTTCGCGTCGCACAGTTTGGGAATCGCTGCTCTAGACTGAATAGAGCGGAGGCAAAACGAGAGCGCCAAGTGCTCAGAACAGAGCAGAAAAACATGCTACTCTACTTGTGCTCTTCTCAAATTAAAGTGTGTACTAAAGATATTGAGGAGTCGATACCACCAGAAGACGACGGCTGATCGCTCTTTGTTCGCCGACGTTTACTTTATCGGAGTTTTCTAAATGTACGGCGATTATTTTGGTAGGAATGAAACCTTTCCAAAACTTCCAAAGTGTGCCAATAATATCATAAGTCCTCTAGCACTACTCTCCTCGAGTTTGGGCATCGTGTATCCTATCTTGGAGATCCGTGCAAGTAGCCGATTCTCTTAGTTGACAAGGAAAATTTGCCTCACACTGTCTCAAAAGTCGTAAGACAACCTAAAT